TTTTCTTAATTTACTTATTATTTTATACTGCTTTAATTAAATTATTATAGTTCTATGAGGAAAGTTTTATTTGGAGGCTTTACATATCAGTTATTATTGAGTCTATTGTGAGACTCAAAGTGACTATTGAGTCACTAAACAGATTATATAACCTCTGTCTTTCATTCTTAGAAGAAACCCTGGCAAAATTTTTGTGGTGGAACTGGACCACACTTAACTCACTTTGGCTCACTTGGAAGAGATTCATTGTGGGTATTACGGAATCTTATTTGGAACCCAAAGGCTTCAATTGTGTTTTTTGCCTCTTGGAAATCCATAATTTTTCTTTATCTCCAGGAGTATGGAATAAAGAGAATAAAGGATAGCAAAGCTTTATTTTGAATATACCATTATCTGTGAGAAGGGTTTTACAGGACTACCTATTATATAAAATGTATATTTTAGTTTATATTTTTAGGTTTACAGTTGTTTTAATTTAAAATGTTAACCCAACTGGTCATGATTTTCTTTTGCTTCTTCCATGTATTTTCCTAACCCTGTTAATATAAATCAGATTAGATAAAAATAAACCCTACAGCCAATGGATAAGAAGGAAAAACACTCCCTTACAGTGCTCACTACTCCATCTGTTGGATGCCAGCAGCCAACAGAGACAGATGGTACTTTGTTCAATCTGATTTATATATGTAACTAACATTTTTCTATTGCTTATTTCATGAGTTTTATACAATGTGTGATTGTTTTCAATATATTGTTCTATAATTGGAAAACATACTTATTTTTAAGAATATATATGTAAACTTTATATGTATGTGTATATACATATACACACACACATATATAATTTATATAGAAGCATTTTGAACAGCTGCTAGATAGCTACTGGCATTTAGTCCTTAGTATAAATATGAAGATATTTGGCTTTATCTAGTTTTTCAAGGTTTGAGTTACTTGTCCTAATTAACATTGAATTTGAAATTTTACTCAAGAATGAATATATATATATATATATATATATATATATATATATATATATGAATAAGCAAAAACTAAATGATTCTCTTGCTGTTTCAATACCTAATTCTGGCATTCTAAAATGTTTATAGAACTAAAATGAGTAATTTGAATATTTTCCCTTTGATTTTGGTTTTTCTGGTCACCTTAATTGAAAATATATATATACACATTAAGATAGTGAGTCAATCCTTCTATTTTATCTGGCTGCATCATAGTTTATTTATTAAAATATATTTTTATTGATTTCAGAGAGAGGGAGATGAAGAGGGAGAGATAGAAACATCAATGATGATAGAGAATCATTGATTTGCTGCCTCCTGTATGCCCCACACCGGGGATTGAGCGTGTAATCTGGGCATGTGCCCTGACTGGGAATTGAACCATGACCTCCTCCTGGTTCATAGATCGACGCTCAACCAGTGAGTCATACTGGCCAGGCTCATGGCTTACCTATTAATTGTTGTTGGTGTAAACGTTGATTTGTCATAAAAAAGGTAAATATTTAAGTACAGAGAAAACTGAACATATGAATGTGTAAAACTCATCCTATGATATTAAAGATAAAGATATGGAGGTACTGTCTTCTAGCTTTAAAGTTAGTTCATTTGTCAAATGAATCATTTTAACCTTGTGAAAATCATCATGCATAAAACAATTGCATATTAAACTAACCTCAGTTCTAAAGAACTAATTTAAATTTGTTACATATCTTCTAGTCCAAATGAAGTTATTGAAACATTTAATTATTTGTTCTTGATGAATAAGCTACTAAAATATTTTATTATTTTCTAATACAATTTCATTCTCTTTGTGAATGTTTTTATCACCTTTTGTTTTCAAGTAAATGTACCACACACAGTTAAAGAGCCAAGTGATCTAAGCAGCTCAGGTTGAATTGTTCTTTAGGCAAATAAAGTTCTTAAAATATAACAAACCAAAAAAATAGTAATGTGTCAAGATTTGGAGTGATTTTCAAACTTTCCATTTGCTTTTAATAGCTTAATAATTTGCAAAAGGAACCACAATTTGGAATTGAACCTTCAGTTGATCATTATTTGCTTATTATATGTCTTGCCCTGTTAGAGATTGTGTCTATTTTGTTTCACTCCCATTTTCCCAGTGTCTAAAACTGTACTCAAAACCTAGAAATTAACAATTTAAAAATGAAAATTGTTAAATGAATGAACACATGAATGCATTCTCCATGTGTGATTACTAAATTTTTATTTCAAAAATAAACTGAGTTTTTAAATTAAAAAAAAATAGATAATGTGTCTGTATTAAGTTCTAAAGCACATAATTGTTAAACAAAATTCTATTTACACCCCATTACTTTATTTTGTTTATAAAATAGTATCAGCCCCAATGTATATCATAAAATTTCCACCTGGTTTTGAATACTTCTATACATCTAAGATGGGACAAGTTCTTTGATAATTGAAATTTGTTGGATGAGCCAAACACGTTTTTGTTTTTCTTTCTTTTTACTTTTTTGTATAATTTCTCCCACTTTTTCACTGCCCTAACATTTTCTAATTCATTCAAGAGCACCATGTGTAAGATATGTTCTGTTGTGATCATAGGCAATTATGAGTTGTCATGAGTATTTCATTGAAACTAGAAAGAAACCAATAGCTCTCGGAATTTTCTTAGAGGAGTTAGTATTGTCAAGAGTTGTGTTTGGAATAAATCACCTTATATATTTGTGTGTGAATATTAGTTATGTGATAAATGATGAAGCTTGCTATAATTTACTTTGGTAATGGATCATGGTAGTCACTATACTGTGTAGGATAGCAAATATGGTAGAATACAGTGTTAATTTGAGATATGAAGGTCTTCTCTTCATTGGGTACAATTCTCTAACTTATTTGTTTCAAAATGTAAGAATTCATTTAGGCATTATGATGATACAGCTTAAGTATTCAAGTGAGAGTTAGATATTTCTTTTCTCATGATTTTGCTTATCTCTATTTGGGATTAAATTTATTAATTTGGATTTGGCATGCAAAAAAAATTACTGAATTGGGAGTTGAGACACCTGGGTTGGAAGTTTAGCTCTGTTAATTATCAGCTGTGTGATCATTAAGTCAATTCCCTGGACTGCTTTTTCAAAGCTCTAAGTCCAATTTCATTTCATATTCTTACAATAATGTTTCTGACTAGAAATTGTTTCTCTTATGGCTAGTTATTTAAAATTACTACAGGAATACAGCAATGATTATTATTTAGTAATAAATGCACTTAATGTAAAATAACTGTTTTAGATATTTATAAATACACTTACTCATTTTTAAAATAGCATTTAATTAAGTATATGCATATTTATATAAGAAAGAAGTTATAAAAATAAAGAAGTGTAACTATGCCATCACTTGTTATGATTATTTATTGGCATTATTTTGCCTTTTGACCCTAATTGTAGTGTATGAAAAACTTCCAATTGATGGAGTCATTCCAGATGCTTGAAGATTAAAAGTATTAATTATAAATTGTATATAATTGTATGTCTTCTAAAGAATTGAAAACGTGAACTTGGAGTTTTCACCTATATATTTCAAAAATCATTTCACTGATTAGATGATTCAAAAACTAAATGATTCTCTTGCTGTTTCAATACCTAAAAGTTGGGTTGAATGAAGAGAAGAAATATGGCAGTATGTGAAGGCGTGTTGAGCATTCTGGCATTCTAAAATGTTTATAGAACTAAAATGAGTAATTTGAATATTTTCCCTTTGATTTTGGTTATTCTGGTCACCTTAATTGAAAAACTTATATGCAAAAATTTTGCAAATTTGGAAAATAGCTTATTAGAGAAGGAAGCAATAATTTATCCTTTTAAAAATTGATTTCAGCTGGGACCGGTTTGGCTCAGTGGATAGAGCGTCGGCCTGCGGACTGAAAGGTCCCGGGTTCGATTCCGGGCAAGGGCAAGAGGCAGCTGATCAATGATTCTCTCAACTCTCTATCCCTCTCTCTTCCTCTCTGTGAAAAATCAATAAAAAAAATTGATTTCAGAGAGGGATGGAGGGAGGGAGAGAGAGAGAGAGAGAGAGAGAGAGAGAGAGAGAGAGAGAGAGAGAGAGAGAGAAACATTAGTCAACAGAGTGGCAAACCAAGGCTCGCAAGCCACATTTTGCTGACCACTGCCCTAGCCCTGTGGTCTGCAAACTGCGGCTCGCAAGCCACATACGGTTCTTTGACCCTTGAGTGTGACTCTTCCACAAAATACCATGGCCTGGGCTAGTCTGTTTTGAAGAAGTGGCGTTAGAATAAGTTTATGTTTAAAAAATTTGGCTCTCAAAATAAATTTCAATTGTTTTACTGTTGATAATTGGCTCTGTTGCCTAAAGAGTTTGCTGACCACTGCCCTAGCCGGTTTGGCTCAGCGAATATAGTGTCGGCATACGGACTGAAGAGTCCCAGGTTCGATTACCAACAAGGGCACATGCCTGGGTTGTGGGCTCAATACCTAGTGTGGGATGTGCAGGAGGCAGCCAATCAATGATACTTGGTCATCATTGATGTTCTGTCTCTCTCCCTTCCTCTCTGAAATCAATAGAGAAATATATATTTTTTAAAAATTGATTATGTATGTTGCATAAACATGCATGCATACCCACATACATGGTCATACAGTCGATGTAGTATGAGTCTAGGTTTCGCATTTCAGCTGTAAAAGTCGTCTGAGTTATGAAAATTTAAATTTTCTGCATAAATCATAATTCTATATGAATTATTTTAAAAATATTCAGACTAATTTTAGATAACTTCCTCTCAGATACCTGTGTTATTTAAGTGTTTAATTTTTCATGTTTTTTTCCCCTGAGACATAAATAGTACAATAGAGCTATACAGCATTATTTAGAAATACTAATTTTCTAAGTACTTAACCTAAGCAGTAACATTTAACAGAGAAAAATGTTTTTATCATTAATTAAACATTAGATATTTTTATGGACTTCTTTTTTCTTTTTCTTTAGAGAACCAGAGGACGGAAACGAAGCTTCATACCTGATGAAGAAAAACATGAGGTTGGATTAAGTTAAGCATTTTTTATATAGTCTAAACTTGGAAAAACTTTTTTGCTAAAAATTATTTGTTTTCCTCATAGCCTGATTTTGTTTTATGTTTTATATTATTCTCCTGGGATGGCAGGAAAGAGTTCCTAGAGAGAGAAGACAGAGGCAGTCTGTGTTACAGAAGAAGCCCAAGGCTGAAGATTTACGAACTGAATGTGCAACTTGCAAGGGAACTGGAGACAATGAAAATCTTGTCAGGTAAGTTGGATTCTGAGTCTTTGTCTTTAGGGGTTAAAGACTGCATTTTCATCATTTTCTCATCATAGATATAATGGGGGGGAAAGCTCAGTGCAGGACCTTTTATAAAACCTTTTATTAAACCTGCCACACATTGGGTATTCTCTGGAGTTAGATGTAATTAGGAGCGATAATCTGAATTTTGAATACAAGAGAAGTTAATATTCTGCTTATAAAGGCCACAGAAACACTTTGTACTAAGATTGTTTTATCTCATTCAATACTGAAATTACTATGTTCTCTTAGCATGTTATAGAACTTAAAGTTTATTAGCAATAGCGAGAAGGTAGAGATACTTTTTATTGATAAGATCACCATCAGTAGTTCTTTACTGTTTATGAAAACAAATGTGTTGAATGCTTCTCTCTTGTGAAATAAAGAAAGATGAAAAGATGGCCTAGATAGATTTTACTTTGTTTTTTGTTTTGTTTTGTTGTTTGTTTTGTTTTGGTACCTTTTTTTTTTTTAGTTGGCATAATGCTAATTAGGAATCTCAGCTGATATTGCTATTCCTGATGGTCCAGACACTCCTAAATTTAGCCATTTGCATCTTCTTCTGAGATTAAGAAATTGCTCAAAGCCTTGGGTGAGATGGAGGAATAGGTGGGCGAACTAAGGAAACCTCATTTAAAAGAGTTTTATCACCTTTTCAGAGGACAGTGACATAACTAATCTTTTAGTATGTCAAGGGAACCCTTTTTGATTTCTTGAAAAATCTATTAAATTACATGAGGGCCCAGACATTAAAAGTTTCAAAAGCAGTAAATTGATAAAACATGTATTAGTACTACTAAATGATTTTAAATATTTGCTTCCAAAATGATATCATTTATTTGTCGTTAAAATTATAATTTCTATTTGTTTTAATTCCTCATAAAAAGACAAGAATGTTTGAACTTATGAGTTTTTTATACTATCATTGAAGAAGATAAGGGGAAAATTAAGATTATAGTGAAAAAATACAAAGTGCTTCAACAAACTCAAGAAAGTATGTAACATGTGGCCAGTGTTTCTTGAATGTCATGGGAATTCTCCTTGAGGTTAAACTCATTTAAATTTAGGGAAAAGTAGTTCTAATGATAGAAGATACCGAATAATTCTGACCACAATGCAATTTTCTAATTTATTAAAAAATAATTCCAAGCAAAGCATAACATAATGGAGTGCATGAAACAATGAAACAACAAAAGTGAATAAACAAAACAAACCCCATAAAAACAATCTTATATAGTAGACAAAATTCACTACAGGGGAAATTTCCTTGGGGTTGAGGATGGCATTGTTGTGAATGATCAATTTGAAACAATCATTTAAAACATAGAGAGCTGATTATCTCCTTTTTAATTAATTGAACCTATAGGAAATATCTATTCTCGTACTTATTTATTTTTAACTAGTAGGTTCAGGCCTTTTTACTAAAAAACCTATATATTTTTACCAGCTTTTTATTTATTTATTTGATCATGTATTTGAAAAAAATAATCCAGGAAATAAATACAACTTTTATTTAAAAAACTACTTTTCAACAAGAGCTCTTTTAACACATATTTAGTTGTATTAAAATGATAGGTACCATTTTTCTTGTATTTTTGATAATATTTTTGAATAATATTAGTCTTTCATCTCACTTATTTAATTAGTTTCTATTATAAAGTTTTCGTTCCTAATTGCATTATTATAGCATGCCAGTGTCTGGGATTTTGTGAAAGACTTCTTAGAAAGTAAAGATATTTTTGTTACTAAAGAAATGACTGGTATCCAAGCCTTCTTCCATGGTTTTACCTTGTTAAGAAGATAACATCACAGATTTTCTTCGAAGGATTTAAAGAGATACTGAAGAGGATTTAAAAAGTTTTATAAATATTATATATTATTGTATTTGAGAACAAAATAAACTGGATATAAAGCAATGCCATAAATGTTTTATGGTTATAATGTGGTTGCTCCATAAAATGAAAATTAAAAAATATACATTGAGTTTAAGCACTATTTGCTCTTGAGTTCAAGAAGAATTACAATTCATGTAGAATTTAATATGTTTAAAAAGGTAATTTATGAGCTAATATCTGCCATTTCCCTTAATATCTCTTTTGTTTTGTAACTGGCACCATCATTGTTTACAAATTCCCTAAAAAGTACACACATTTATGATTAAGTTGCATCTTAATATTACATTTTTTTGTAACATTTAATTTTTTTGTAACATTTAATTTTAAAACTTTATTTTCTCTAAGGATATATTTCAGCGCTTGGTTAGGATTACATTATACTTATTATATGTATGTCTATTAGGTTCTCATAAAATAAAACTTCTTGTGTCATAATTTAATTAATAATCTCTTATTGAATACACCACATTTATTTCTCAAGTTTCTTTGAACAAGCAAATACGATTCATTAGAACCTGCTGTTTAGCAGCTATGATTTTGAAACCACACTTCTCTATGTAATTCAGGCTATATAAAAATTCCTTCTTAACTATTTCCTTGCTTTTTTGGTTCTTTGTATATATGTATATGTCAATTTACATGTATAATTTTTTACTATTACTGGGAAATTGCATTTAGTTTATCAGTCAGTTGTAATAGTAGGTTCCAACTGTTATTTATTTATTTATTTATTTTTGCCTCTTTAGCTTTTCTCAGGTCTTCTTATAGCAAGTAATTTAGCAATTTCTGTGTTTCAGTTTTCCCTTTATTGTACATGGTAAAAATCACATTCTGCTTCATTAGGGACTGTTAATAATTAATGAGTGATAGTAAATTCTTTCCATATAAAATAGTGCAACAGTGATATAATTTAGTAATACAAAGGATACACATATATGTGTATTCTGATATAAAGGTTCCATTTGGTAAATATGTTCCAGTAATAATAAATGCTTAAATGTTTTACCTTTCAGAGAATGTGCATGCTCTGTTTTTGTAAATAATTCTAGAATATGTGGGACAAAAACAATTGAATTTGTTGAAACTCCTTCTTCTGAAGTGATTAGATTGAACTATTTCCATTAGACATGGAAATTAAATTACCAAAGTCTTAAAGAGAAGATGGTTTTATACCATCTTATGGACTTCTTGAAAATAGTGTTTCCTTTTTTTGCCATTTATTTTTTAAATTTAATTTAAAATTAGCTGGCAAGTTTTCAATTAAAATACGTATTTCTTTATGTTACTTAGTATTTATTTCTTTGTGATAGATGTTGTTTATTGGAGATAGTTATGGGCCTACTTAATGTCTGTCATCTTATTTGTTTTTATTTGCACAATTTCTAGCACAATTACTAGGTGTACCGGTTAATAATTCATATTTCCTGTTAACTGGTTAATAATTTGGATTCCCATTATTAACCAATTAATTAGTTAAAAATGTGGATCACTGCCCTGACCAGTTTGACTCAGTGGATAGAGCATTGGCCTGCAGACTCAAGGGTACCAGGTTCAATACCAGTCAGGGGCATGTACCTTGGTTGCTGGCACATCCCCAGTAGGGAGTGTGCAGGAGGCGGCAGATTGATGTTTCTCTCTCATCAATGTTTCTGACTCTCCTTCTCCCTTCCTCGCAGTAAAAAAATCAATAAAATATATTAAAAATAAATAAAAATGGATCACTTATTAACCAGTTAAAAATTCAGATTGCCTATTGGGTTAAAAAGTGGATTAACTATTAACTGGTTAATAATGCAGATTAATTATTCACTGAGCCACACTGGTTTCGGCAAATAATGCAGATTAATTATTAACCGGTTAATAGTGAGGGTTAACTGGTTAATAGTGCAGATTAACTATTAACCGGTTAAAAATGCCACAGCTCCATTAGGTTTATTATTATTTCTGTCCAGGTTGATTTTAATTTGTCTTTTTTCTCAAGTAAAGTTAGGGACCTTTTGGCTGTGATAATGGAAAACGTACCTAAAAGTGTTTGAACTAACCTAACAAGAAGTCAGATAGCTTAGCACTGCAATCATGTTCTCAAGGACTTGTTTTCTTTCCATTTTTCTACTCTGATCACTAATGCCTGATAAATTTAGCGTTTGTCTCCTCAAAATCTCAATCAATCTCTCTCTCTCTCTCACCAGGGAGAGGATAGGGGCAGGCCTACAAACAGCTTATGTCTCCAGGTACCTAAATAGCTTTGCAAGTTTTGTTTTGTTAGCAAAGAAAAAAGTCAATTGCCTTTGAGTGGGCAGTAAAGGCAATTGAATATACAATCAGTTTTCAACTCTAGCCTTGATTTGCATTTCAGTCTTATTCAAAATACATATACTAAATAAATGCTTGATAATGCATGATTGCTCCACATAAAGTAGTGAGTGATTATTTTTTGGTGAATTAATCCAAAAATTTTAATATAATTTATTCCTAGAATAAATAAATTGGACACTAAATATAAGTATTTGATGAAGATGTTTAAAAAGTTTAATGAAGGAGAGTTCCTTTTGTGTGACTAAAGAATAGTGGATATTTTTTTTCTGAATATTAGGTAAGGAAATACACATATTTGAGATGAGTTAGTTAATTCTTCATTGTAAAATAGAAATGAAGTGATTCCTCTCCTTGAACATATTTGATGTTTAAAAGATAGATTTTAAAGATAGTGAGCCTTTTTTTCTCCATAAACTTTATCAGGCTAACACACTAGGAATAAGACCAACATTTCAGAACTCAAATGTTATCTTAGCTATATAAACTCATTACAACACATTTTTTTAATGGGAGATGTGGGAGAGAAAAAGTGTTTCCTACAACTAAGAACCTAGTGTCTTTAATATTATTTTCTATTGTGGCCAGTACTCAGAAGTGGGGAAATGATCTATGGTGCTCTATCACTTTTATAGCTAAATCCAAACTATTAAATGCATGTTACATTATCCTCCTTATTTGAGTACATGGCAAGTTATTATAGGTATTGAACCATTTTAGTTTAAGATTAGATGTCTGTTTAGTATCTTATCAAAACTA